AGAGGCGGCCAGGAGGCCAGTCCGCCTGAGGCAGAGAGAGTGAGGGCAAGAGGGAAGAGGGCTGAGAAAGGCCAGGTACGGACCACATCAGGTAGGGTTTGGTAGGCTCCTATAAGAAATGTGACTTTTACTCTAGTTCCCGGGGGAGTCTGTAGAAAGGGTACACTAGACTTGCTTTCTTTGCTGGCAGATGCTGGACCTGTCCTTGACCCCTGGATCTAAGTCCCAGGGATGGGACAAGGGAACTGCTATATTTCTGACAGATTCAGGATGATTCTGATGTGCAGTCAGGTTTGACATCACTCATTCTGTTCAAAGGTTCCATTCTTCTAAATTTAAAATAATTTAATAAGAGGAAGTGAAAATTTCATAGCATCCCCAAATGTTGGTGATTTGGAGATTTTGGAGATTACCTAGGAAATTGGGGGCCCAAGGTTAAGTGACTTGCCCCAGGTTATGCAGCTATAAGAGGCAGCAGTAGGTTTTGGATTCGCCCTCCTCACTCGGAGTTCAATGAACCTTCCCCTGTACCAGGCTTCTTAATACACTGTCTCATTTCACTTATCAGGTGGTTAGATTTCCAATAAAGCTCCGCCATTAGGAATGTAGTTTGAATCCAGAAGCTCTGTAAGGTTGATTGGTTGATTAAATGTTTGGTTATCTAAAGATTGATCAGAAAGCTGCTGTTGTTTTAACCTTTTTGGTTAAGAATCATTCACAATGTATTAATCACATTTTCTGCTTCTTTAGAGGAGTTCTGGAAGAGTCATGCCATTTTAGAATGGGAAATGACCTTAATTGTTCATGATCTTACGGTGCCTCTGGGTCATAATTCTGAAATAAGCTCTTATTTGACATCAGTATAAAACATACAGGCCATTCAGCTGACCCTGGACATATCTGAGGTTTAGTTTTTGAAGACATTTCTGATTTAGGTTGCTTTCTTTTGATTTGTTTCTTGGACATTGACTGTAACTACATTTTTTTTCACTTAATTTAATTGTTTTATAATGTTGGTTTCTCTGGCCCTATTATGTAACTTGAGCCTAAATTTTATCTGCAGTGTCTGAGCTTGTAGACTTTGCTTTTGTCCTGGAATGCATTGAAATTGTGGCATGGGAATCGGTCCAGAAATCACGTATCCAAGCAAGAACTCAGACCTCAGAGCTAAGCTAGGGAATGATTTCAGTGAAGCCATTTCTCCTTCACTTGCACACTTCTACACTTCCACGTGTTTCAGTGACCAGATCAGTGCCAATCCTAGGGGGAGGTTACACATTCCCACTGGGAACACTTGGTGGAGATGATAGGGATACCTTTTTTTTCTTTTCCTTTTACAAAGCCAGAGTTGGCAGTGGGAGCTGTGTCTGAGGAGGATACTGGAACTCTTGCTGCTCTGGGAATAGGTGGAAAAATGGATACTTCGCGCATTTCCCTCATTCCATCTTCTGCTCAGAAGAGTAGCATTCAGTGAAGGGCACTGGTCCCAGTACAAAGTATTCAATTCATATACTAAAGCAGTTCTGTACTATTTGATAGGTACCTTGATGTTATCTACTCTGTCAAGGCTTAATCTTTCTTTAATGTAGAAAGTTCAACCTAAATTTATTTCTGGGGAACCTTGTCCCTTCGTGATTCAGCCTCGAATGCTCTCCACCAGAAGATTGCTTGTAATTTCTGTTTTATCTTCTTGTCTTGAAAAGCCTCAGCCAGTGACTGGCCCTTTTCTCTTCTCTGGGTGGTTTCAATATAGTAACCACATTCTTAGAGGAAACCCTGACGAAGTGGACACTGTAGCATGAGAATTAGCATGGCTCTAAACTGCAAAAAAGGCCACCCCTCCTTGAAGGATGACTGAAATGGGTACATATAAGAGAATCATAGATGAGCTTTAGGAATGATTAGCTCCTGACTTAACATTACATCAGGTGTTGGTATGGAGAACAGTGCTTTTATAATTTCCTTTGATGATGTTTCCTCAGATTCTTAACAGTCCCTTGGAAGTAGAGCAGGTGGCAGCCATGAGGCTCGGGCCTTTTTCAAATGAATGATTATCTCAGTTTCTCAGTCTCGACCATTTAATGTGGTGCTCTTATTGGCATGGATAGGGCCAAGGAAGCATGGACCCAGGGAGCCTGGAAGGGAACTGTGGAGGAAGAAGGCATGATGCCAGGAAAAAGAGAACACTCCAGCTGGGGGAGAGCTGCCGGCCCAAAGCCCTCAGTTCAGCTGTCAGTCTCATAAGGGGATTGGTTCAGGTGAAGAGAGCGGCCTTGCCCAACATTGCTGAGATAGCCTACCAGTCACTTAGTGGGGATGTAAAGGCCCATCCTCCTAGCCTCACCTCAGATGACTCTCAAAGGTCATCCGAACTGCAGAATCCCTCCCCTCCTACAGGGATGCTTGAGACTTTCATTAAGACCTTATTCTAGCTTAGTTTCTCCTTCTGCTCAATCTCTCCTGCCTCACTCCCTCCTTCCCTTCCAGTTGGTGATTCTAGGAAGGCTTTCTAATAAATCTTTTTGCCTGCTAAACACCATCACAGAGTCTTGGGGAACCCAACCTGCACAGAAATTTTATGAGCAATTTGCCTGTCCATTAGAAACACAGCATAGACTTTTTCTGCAATAACTGGAGAATTCTTCATGTCATAAAAAAAAAAAAAGACTAAAAAGTTGGAAAGTTGGAGTACTAACCTGAAAAGCAGAGAAACAAAGATAGAATTAGATTAGTTGTTTTTCCTTTCTATATTTGAATTTGAGATGCGGGTGACACCTTGCTTCTCTATTAAAGTTAGGAGCTGTCACTGGAAGTCTTCAGCCACTTTAAAAGTTGAGGAAGACAGAAAGGAAGTGAAGAACCAAACAAATTGTTTCAAATTGGATACTTATTTCTTTGTACTTAGCACCATGACTCTGTGTTCTTGCCTTTGCTCTTGTAAACAACTCTAGATTTTCTAGACTTCTTTCTTAGACCGTCTCATTTCTCCCCTGTGCCTCTGGCAGCCGCCAGGAATCACTGCAAGAACCAATGAATAAATGGCCGTGGTGTCTCGCATCTCTAATCCACATTTCAAATCATGGGGAGGATGAATGGCAGCCTTGCTTTTAAAGGTATTCTTATCCTCCTTGAGTGAGCTTGGCTCATGTGTGCCTCATTCAGGTAAAGAAGGGAAGGCAGTTTTGAATGCCCAGCCCAGAGTGTGGGCAACAGCAGGTGACAGCAGGAGGCTGGATGGGGTAGAGGCCAGGGTGAAAATTAGGTGACACCCAAGCAGGAGGTGAAAACTCTGGAGGAGAAAGCCCAGGACCACGTGGGCGGCTTCTTTATGTTCCTTGCATGGACCTTAGGGGGAATTTGTGTGTGTTTATGGGTTCTTTCCTCTGCAGGGCCTCCCATCCCTTGGCATGAACCTCCAAATGTTGAGGTTAGACATGGAATGGACTTGTTCTGAAGACTCAGACTCCATTCAACTCAGCTCTTAGAGTATGTGGGGGAAGTGATGGGTGGACTACAGAAGCGTTAGGTCTCTCCTTAACTCCCTGAGTATGCCGAGAGGCAAGCTAGTCAATTGGGTG